GTGGCTGGCGCCTTAGCCGGTTGAGCTATAGGCGCCGAGCCTGGCTTTTCTTTAATTACATTGATTTGTTTGGTGCTTAGGTCTTTTCTTCCAAATTCACATTTATCATTGTTTGCTAAATACGTCATCTCCCAACTTTGCCAAATATATTATCCTGCATGCTACATTGACCTGCTAGTAATGAGCAGGTGCCAGGGTGTCTTGTCCTGAAGCTAGTAATAGGTATCATTAATGATGATGGAAGGAAGGAATGAGATGTCCATATTTGAGTGCAGAAGGAATTTTTTTATTTTTTTGAGACAGACTCCGACTTTGTCACCCTTGGTAGAGTGCAGTGACATCACAGCTCACAGCAACCTCATACTCTTGGGCTCAAGTGATTCTCTTGTCTCAGCCTCCCAAGTAGCTGGGACTAACAGGTGCCTGCCACAATGCCTGGCTATTTTTAGAGATGAGGTCTCACTCTTTGCTCAGGCTGATCTTGAACCCATGACACTCAGGCAATCACCCGCCTCGGCCTCCCAGAGTGCTAGGATTACAAGTGTGAGCCATCATGCCTGGCCCAGAAGGAGTATTTTAATATATTTAAAGAAAATGAAGTACAATCAGAAAACATTGTTTCATTATTCTGGGAGAAAGGTGACCAGTCCATACTGTGCTGTTTTTGCCATGTGGCAGCTGGATTAATTCTCCTGGGAATTGGGACAGATGAGTTAAAGTTGAGGCTGAGATCCACATTCTTCTAAGTTGTAGTACCACTTCTGATTGTCTTATGCTCAGTGTGACTAAGTACACACACATCAGTCTTTTGCCTTGTTTTTAATATAAATGTATACTGTTGGGCTAAATGTAGATTATTAGAAATAAGAAAGCCACAATTAAAAAGAAAATCCATGTGTATGTTTTGCCACTCTAGATGTTCATTGTGAAAGGATATTGTCCTATTAATTTAGACTGTATTTTTCCTGAAGGAATTAAAGCAATGTGTGTAAAAATTGAAACTGAAATACTCTTTTTTACTGAAGGTTGCACATAATGTCTACCATGTTGGCTAAATTCTTTTTTGACCTTAGACTGCTTCAGTAACACCAACTTGAGAAAAGGGAGTAACCAGATTTTCCTGAGTGGAAAGTAATGGGGAGATCTTTCAAAACAAACTTTTCCTTGTCTTAAATGTTTGAGTGATTAATTGAATATGTAATTACAAAAAGGTCTAGCTTTAAACTCTTGAAGGTTTTGAGGAGCTAATTGTAGATAAAAATCACAAAGCTGTAGGTTCAAATTATTACCTGATTGAGTTTGGCCTTTAGATTTTGTGCTTTTAGTTCCTTGAGGCAGGAAGTACATTCTTAATTTTTTTCTGCATCCCTTCAGCAATGATGGTAGAAAGGAAGAAGATACTAATTTTTGAGTCAAGATATTCTTAAATAGAAGTGTTCTCAAAACTGAGTGGGCCAGACATGGTGGCATGCACCTATAGTACCAGCTACTTGGGAAGCTGAGGCAGGAGGATTGCTTGAACTCAGGAGTTGCAGCTTAGATGACAGAAGACCATTTTAAAAAAAATTAATTGGATGCCTTGTTGGATTTTCTCTTGCTATAGGTGCACATTGAAGATCCCAAATCATGACTGACTCCAAGTACTTCACAACCAATAAAAAAGGTAAGTGTGAGAACCTGATCAAATCTTTGAAATTTGTCAAAAGTTATAGTGTGAGATTGTCTCAAATGGAAGAATTGACCTCTTCCTCTAGACATTCATTTTGTGGACTGCATTATTGGAAATCTACTTCTGCAGATAAATGTATTTGAGTAAATTATTAATGTAAAGGTTTTCAAAGATGGGATGTACATCATTTTGACTTGAAGGTTCTGTTTTAGTGAAAAGAAGGGACTCCTTTTGGCTATTTGAAATCAACACTGATCCATTAGAGATTGATAGATCTGAGGAGGGCAAAAAGTAAGAAGCATATTTCTTCTCTTTTTAATTTTTGCTTAGAGATAAAAATCTTATAACAAAGAATACAATTAAAGCAATGTGTGTAAAAA